ATCTTAAAATGCATGCAAGCCATGAATATTAATTCTAAAAATTTTATCACAAACTGCATTATTCCATCCAAATAAACTCGAAAACATTAAAATTCAAATAGTGCATCATATAACAGCACAACTACGGCATGAACAGTAAATAATTCACTATCAAAATAAATTTAAAGCATTAAATGAAATTGATCTTACTTTACAACATCATACATATACACAACAGTAATGCCTGTCATTTATATCAACATGCTGACATCGCTATGCACAATGGCATTTTTAGTCGACTGTGATAAAGTTGAAGTTTTGAGATGCGAGCGTACATAAAATATGCAAATTTTGTTGAACTGAAAATCAATTGAAAAGTTTTCCTTTTAGTGACATTTTGAGCAGTTGTGAGTTTTTGGATGGCAAAATGAGCAAACTATTGAAGAATATTGGCTCGTGTGTTGAATTTGGATTGGAAGTTTGATGAAAAATTATGAGATGATTCTTGATGCAAAGTACTAAGTCAATACTTTGACACTTCAGACCCCCGTCTCTCCCGTAAAGAAAATTTCTGATCTCGGTCAATCCACTGCCTTTGCTTTAACACAAACCCATTCCTGGATGAATCCCAATGTTTCAAGCATGTCAAGTTTTTCAATTTTCCATCACCAAATAGTTTCCGATTTTCAATAATTTGAATAAAATTTTGATTCTAGAAACAAATTTAATTATCTTTATCAATGCCATAGAATTTCAAAATCAGTGGCTGTTCAAACTAATTTTATTTCGTCACAGTAAATCGAAACAAATAACAATCAAATTCCATCAACTGCAAAATTCATTACAGCCAGTCAGGAATTTTTAATTGGATTTTTATCAGCAATTGACAACCATTGAAAATCTTCAGTATGAATAGAGGAGTAAGAGATGATTGCAAATTTGGTTTATATAATTAAAATTTATTCATGAATATTCTGTTGTGTATTTTGGATGAAAAATTTGTATCAGCACTTCCTTGATTGGATTTTTGAGTACTTTTTATGAAACATAAAGATTTTTGGCTTTTTTCTGTTGTAAAATTCTGATTTTTTTGATAAAAAAAAAATAATGAAAAATGTGGGGAGTTAGAGGGGGGGGGGGGGGGGGGGGGTGAAGGGGGGTCACTCACAGCTTTATCAAAAACCAAGACCTTCAAATTATCATTCCAAAAAATTAACACAGCATTTTCTCATCAACACAACTGAATGCCCACGCCATAAAACTCAAAAGACAATTTTTACATCAACTTAAAAGAGACGAAAATTAAGTCAATTCAGTAACAACTCAAAACGATACAGAGTAGCATAATAAAACACCATAAATATATAAATTATTCAAATCGTCCGTATTCACCATAAATCTTCCTCTCCATTTTAATGAAATGTGCAGTCACTTAAATCTATCTGTCTGCATATTACCACTTCTAATACATTTGAATAATGAATGGTCATTAAGAATCAATAAAATGATTAATTGTAATTTGCAAGGAAATTGTTGATGTTGAGAGTTACTTAACAAATGAGACTCAGAGCAATAAAAATGACACTCTGTTATTAATTTTATTTATTTCTCCATTTCCATTTCGTTCTTATGTAAATTTATGAATGTGATGAAAAATGTGACGAAAAATTTAAGTCGAGAAGAAGAAGAAAAATTCATGAATTTTTGATGACTTAAAGTTTATTATGCGTTTCTGGGAAGTGAAAAGTTCTAAGAGGGGAAATTTGCTTTTTGGTGAGTCTATTGCCTTAGGCTTTGAGAGTATGATGCTAAGATGTGTGGTTCACAAAAGATCCTGATCGAGAAGTTGAGAATAATTTCAATTTTTGCCATCAAGCTACTTACAACTGCTGCAAGAGCATTGAAGCAATGCTTTAGAGTCTAAACAGTTTTGATTGAAAATGAGAATCATTTTCCCCATCTACAGTAAATCTTAAAGCTGCTTCAACCCTTAAAAATCACCTCCCATTGAAAAGTACCACACAATTTTAATAACATCCTAAGATTATGCTTTAAATGTGTAGATAGCGAAAATGATTGATTGTTCTAAGGAAATTCTCTTTAATGTTACGACTTTCTAGATTTAATGATGAGTAATTTTTGAGGTCATGAAGGTTGATGATGCTGAAATGATTTTAACGACGCCTTAATAAAAAGAAATATTTTCTGTTAAGATTTTTCTGATGCCTTTACAGCAATTATGAATGGTCTTTAATGCAGCAGTAAGAGTTTTTCGTAGGAGGGATCAACTTTTTGGAACCATAAGCTTCTTCCAGAAAACTCTCATGTTTAGTTGAATGCCAGAAAGGTTTTATCTTCACACAAAATTGAATAAAATTACAACCAACCCCACAACGGCCCAGCACATCGAATCCATAAAATTAAATTAAAATCTAATCATTAGTAATCAAGCACACAACAGCCACATACTCTTAGTTCTCATATCACTCGAATTTTCAAAACTGATTGGGGGGCGCAAAAATGATGTCCATCAAAAATATGATTGTTTAAAACTCCTATTGAAGATTTATATTTGTAGAAAATTTCACGTCCCTTTTCTCCTAAAAGAGTTTGATATCATTGGGACCGTTAACTTATGACGTCCAGAGGGAGGGGGTGGGGGTAAGCAAGAAAAGAACAATAGAAACTCCTAGAAATCCATTGTTCTTTTATGAAAAATGACCGTTAAATTCGGACGTCATAAGTGAACGACCCCATTTATGAGCAACCCCAATTATTGAAGTCACAAATAAACATCACCGACTCATTGTGGTCAGCAGATTTTACCATCATTATCAGTAACTCAAACTCATCATCAGCTTGCGGTTAAATTGTCATTTATGTAAATTTAAATTCATGTCATCGCCGGGCATAGCACAAAAGTTTCGATTATTGTAATCAAATTTCATGCATTTTTGCTATTGACTTTTAGTCATTGAGATTGTGCCTGACATGAGGAGAGAATAAAATGCGAAATATGCACAGATAATGAGGAATGGAGATGGGTAATAATGAGATCAATATGCAGTATTTTATAATTGGAATGTGCATGTTACATGTGTTGACATTAAAAACAACTTGTTGCGATGCTTTAAATGAGAATAATGATTTTGTTGAGATTCATTGGGGGATGTTTGGGTTGTAGCTTTAAAGTGTTGACTAAATTCTAGGGGAGGGGGAAGGGGATGTTCTGTGGTAAAAGAGGATCAAAAAAACTATCATACTGTCAGTAATAGAAGCTTAACCCCTTGGACATTACCACTTACTTCCTTCATCTCACAACAACAAGTTGACTACACATAAACACATAAGAATTGAGAAGTTATGAGTACACATCTTGCCTTGCTCTATACAGAACAAAACAGCTCGACTAAAAGAATTGAAAAATTGTTATCGCTCATTTGCATGTTCCACACAAAACTGAATCATCTTCGTACATTTTATATCGTAATAAATACCGGCACCATCTAGGTCACTGATCACATCGGATATTGACAAAGGAAAAAATATTGATAATTAATGACTTTCTCAGTTGCTGGTTCTGTTGAAATGTAGAATAATGAAATATGTTTATCGACAAAATTTCAGGTATATTGATGATAAATTGCCATCCTTTGCATTTTTTTACAAGAGTCTTGTCGACGATAAAAATCTGTTTACTCACAAGCGTTGTCAGCAATTTAGTAAAGATTTTTTTTGTGTGTAGACTGGAACATAATCCTCTTTATTTATTCATAATCTTCTTATTGTTGTGTGTTGTGATCAGGATTTATATGCACAAAGAGAATCTGACGACGTATAGTTAAAGGAATTTGATTCTGTTGCTTACATTATTAACATACAATTTAATTAGAAATAATTATTTTGTGATTAAAGGAGCTTTAAATGTTCGTGAAGATTGTGGTCAGATTTGGGCATACGAATTGTGACTAGGTACATTGCAGGGTACATCAGTTTATATGACGTACTCGTGTCTTTGCAATGTGCAGAGCTTGCAAGTGGTTCCGATCGCACTATAAACTGTAGGTCTAAAGGGTGTGGTACAATAGATTCTGTTCTAATTTGAATCGTTGTGCCTCCAGCTGAAAGGCTGGGACCTCCACACATTATTATTATTATTTATCAAACAGATTTTCTGGAACAAGATTATACCAAAATAAGACCAAAATAAGACTGAGATGAAACCAAGACGAGACCATAATTTTCATAGATCTCAGTCAGGTCATCGGATATCTTTAGGCTAGACTCAAGATTTATCTTCAAAATACAGAGTTGTTTCAAACCTTAGCATAGCTTTAACTCTTCAATCAATATCCCAAAAAAAATCTTAAAGTTCAAAAAACCAATTCAACTTCTTCGTCCAATTAAAATCTTAAAGATTAACTGCTAACTCAAATGAAAAGGAGCATGTGGGGAGCAAAACAGTCTTGGTTAAGATTTCAATCAGTCGTGAATTTTTAGACACTTTCCTTTATTCAGTCCAATCCAATTTCACATACGGTGTGCTTATGCTGCACTTTTTCTTTGGGAAGAATTCACAAATGACGTCAATCTGAACGGTATTTCAGTATTTCGGACTTTCATTTTTCTCATCTCCTAGTAAAAGTTTGACATCATTTTCACACGACCAGCAAAGCAAATCACCTGAACCAAATGAATGAATCAAGTGCGACGAATAACAAGGAACAAGAAGAAACCACAAATGCCACAAAGTGTGAATGAGGAATTTTTAAAATGCACGTCAGTTGAATGAAGTAATTTGGAGTATTTCTACATGTATGAAAATTTGTAGCAACTTGATTACCATGCGCAGCTTAACTACTTACTGAAACTTTCATGATTGACATTTTAAAATGCATGACCTAGGTCAACATGCTGTGAGCAATCATCTCACATGATAATTTTTTTTGAAGGTCAATTTAAATTGGATGATGATAAGGAACGCTCAAATTTCTTAAGAATATTAAAGAGATTAATAAGTGATTCGGAATAATATTTTCGTGAGCACAAACCAGAATTTAATCTGAGCAGCTGAGATGATTTTTGAGTCAGTATCAAACAAGTTTTATTGAGTGACATCAACATGAGATTTACATTCCAAAAAGTTTTTATTTTGCTGGCTTTTGTAGCTGAAATTCGTGGATTAGAATTGAAGACAATTCACGACACATTTGATGAAGTTTTTGTGATAAAGTTGATGTTGCCAGAGGATGACTTAGTCAGGCAATTACTGAATCAATTCAATGAAACCTGCATGGCTGAATACATGCAATTATCAAAATATGGCGGGAAACTAGTGAACGAATTCGAACAGAACTTATTAGTCGATTCTGCATCTTATATGTGCACTGGAAGTGCTGCTGATCAGCTCAGTAAAACACTAAAGGTAAACACACTCAAGTCATTTAATCTTGATGAAGACGATGACTTCATAGCATGTTTGTCATCAAAACTACTCACATTAGAGCCAACAACAAAACTTGCTGTTTATGACAGAACAAAAACTTGCAAAACCAGTTTTGTCAATTTTTTGCCAGAACATCTGAAGAGTTATCTCAAAAACACAAATGCACAAGTTACGAAATCAACGTGTGACCAGATAACAGCTGACTACAACACCAAAATTTTTGTCAAGCAATATTTGTTGTTATTGAAAAATGTTGAAGCAAATCTCAAGAAGAATGAGGATGAACAATTGCTTAAGCAAATGAAATTTATGTGGAAGGTTGGATATCATTGTATGTTTAATAGATTTAAGAATGAACATTAAATAAATTAATTCTTAAAAATAAATTTATTTTGAGAAAAAATTGATTAGGGGCCGTTCACTTATGACGTGCAAAGGGGTGGGGGAGGGGGGTTCAGCAAGAAATAGAAATTCCTGGAAATCCATTGTCTTTTTTTGAAAAATGACCGTTGATTTCGGAGGTCAAAAGTGAGCGACCCTTTAACAGCCTTTATAAAATAACCAGAATTGAAATCATTTATGAACGAGCCCTTTTTATTTACAGCTCTATTATCAGAGCTCGAAGGAGACTTAGACTATCTTATATGTCCGATGTCGTAATCAAAAAATTTGTATTTAAATTGAAGAAAATCATGAGAATTTTAAACTTTCTCTCAACTTCAAATTTTGAGCAATTGAGTACGGTACACAAAGTTTGCAACCTTTTCGCGAGAATCATTGTTCTGATTATAAAAACTGAATTTTACTTAATACTTTAATTCAGTCTTCTGTCAGATTTATCATTATTCATTCCGAAATGAGCAAATTTTTGATTATTTTAATCTTTATGGTTATCGCGATTGCTCAAGGAGCTAAAAAAAGTACACTTAATAGTTCTTTTCTACACTTTAAAAAAATCGGTGCACATCCAGAGAGATTCGAAAATTCTGAGCTAGCAGAACACTTGAAAAATATTAACTTTCAGTGCTTTAAAGAACATTTACAATTGGATAAATATGGTGACAAACTTGTGAATGGATTTGAAGAAGATGTTTTCTATAAACATTCAGCTATTATGTGCCATGAAGATGTCATCAATGAATTTATGAGCTCTAGAAGCAATGACGCAGGTGGAAAATTCAACTTTAAATCAAATAAAGAACTAATCAAATGCTTCAAGTCAAAACTTTTCGAAATTGAACCAACATCCAAATTGATTGTTGATTCTGATCATGAAAACATTAAGAAATGCAATACGAGCTTCATCAACTTAGTTCCAAATAAATTAAGGAATGAATATGTTAATTATAATGCAGTTATAACAGATTTAACTTGTGGAAAAGTTAGTCAGAATGAGTTTACAATCAACTTTATTAAAGGATTTCTTGTTGACTTAATTGATTTGGATGAGGATGTGAAGAAGTCTGAAACAAAGGAAATAAAGGAAGCGGAGAATTTGTATACGAAGTATGCTTACGATTGCATTATTAAGAGATTTGAAGATGAAGATGGAAGTGAAGTTTAAACAAATATTGAGTTCGATTTAATTAAGGAACCAAAACTAGAAGCTCAAGATTACAGAAGTTTATAATGTAACAAATAAGATCAATAAATAATTTTTTAATTCAAAAATTCACATTTAATTCTCAAATTTCGAATTCTAGAGTATTAAAAATTGTTTCAGGAGAGCCTTTTTCAAATATATAGGCACACATTCTATGACTTTTAAATCAGTTTTAAAATACATTATCTGCACAGAAATGAGCGTAGCCATCTCAAAAATTATAATTTTTTTGCTACTGATTATCGCTACAGTTTATGGACTAAAACAGAAAACATTAAATGAATCATTTGAAGAATTTAAAGAACTAAGGCAGAATCTTTTAGATGATTATGAAGTTGGAGAATATTTTGGACGTTATAATGAGACATGCATGGCACAGCACCTAAAAATATCAAAATTTGGCAACAAAACAATAAACGAGGTTGAAGAAAATATTTTATTGGATTCAGCTTTATTCACATGTTCTGAAAGTGATGCTTTTAAAGCTGGAAAACTTATCCAAACAAGATTAATAAAGACATACAAGCTTGATGAAGATGAAAATTTTATTAACTGTTTAAAGTCAAAACTGATAGAGTTGGATCCATCAACAAAACTTGTCAATTTTGAAGATCGCAAAAAGTTGTCAACTTGCACAAATCAATTCCAAAATCTTTTTCCAGAACATTTAAAGGATTTTATCAACACACTTAATGAACATATTTTTAATACAACATGTGGTAAAGTTTCAATCGATGATCATACAAAGACTTACATCAAATCATTCTTGGTTTGTACTGAAGACCTTTCTCCTGCCGATCGTAATATTGAAGAAAGACAATTATTGAAGGAACTGAAGTTTAATGTGATGTCTGGATATGATTGCTTGATGGCTAAATTTTCGAGAAAGTAAAAACTATAATTTTTGACGTATTGATGCGCATAAATCCAAAAATCAATAATCATTCAAGCATCAGTCTTTTAATGACTCATAAAAACTTACATTTAATGGGAACAAAAATGGGATCAGGTCAATCAATCAATAAGCAAAAGATGGAAGGAACAAGATAAAGCTTCATTGATGGCGTTGACCATGAATTGTCCTTAACTTCCAACATTATTAATCCACAACATATTTCCAACTTAATTCTTCTTATAATAAAATATATAAATTGTATAATCGATTTTTCTTTATTAAACTTTATGGAATAAAAGACATTCTGTTGCCAAAAAAAGAAAAGAATGGTATGAAGGAGCAATGTCCACAAAAATATTTATTGTGAGTTTTCTTCTTTTTTATGAAATGTCGTTTAATGTGACATAAAATGATTCTCGAGCATTGTTTAAATACTTTTTGAGTCTCGCAAATAATTAAACTCGAGTTTTTGATCAAATACGAATGAAGTCGTTCATAAATGATGTCTACTTTCAATTAAAAAGTGTTCTAAAGCTAGTTAAGGCACATAGGTGCAGAAATTCAAAAAACTAATGTTTAGAAATTGAATATTTTATACACATCATTTATGAACGACCCCAAAAAAGGGATAAAACAATGATATAAAGCAGTATCCGTTTGTTTGCCATTCATGAATGACTTTATTTATTTATTACAAAAAAGAAGAGGAAGAAGAAGCATAAGTACTATATTTAGCAAGCCGTACATTATCAATATGGCATGTAACATCGCATGCATGAGATGAGCAAGCACAAAGAAGCAAAAGAAAATTGCTAATACGGAGAGGAATGTTATTGATTGCTTACTTTTCAGGGCAAAAACATTAAAGGTTAAGCGATTGTTGAGATTTAAGACAACCATAATGTTTAGTGCTTCGCAAGACTTTAATTGTTTATTATCTGATCATGTTGATTGAAAATTGAATTAAAAACTTGCTCGAAATTTTGAAACCTGAAATTGTGAATTTTTGGAGAGTCATGGGCCGGTTTTTAATGTCGATAATCGATCCTAGAGAAGCGTAGCTATAAACGCCTCAAAACTAGAGTTTTGTGTATAGTCGTTGACTTTCTAAAGTTTTATATGAAAAGAATTATAAAGATTCATGATGACTAGTTTTCAAGTTTTATATCAGCATTAAACCTAAACATTTAAGCTAGTCAACAAATAACAGAATCTGATCCAAACTCAAAAAAATCCAAGAAACAACAGCAATGAAGAAATCTTAATTTGTCAAGTTTACACGCAGTTCCAATTTACCACTCGATTACCACTCGACTAGACTATTAATTCTGTGCTTAAATTCCACGCAATTATTTTAATAACTTGTAAGAATTTTTATAAACCATTCTACAAATTAATGATCGACTCTAATCCACTTTACACGTTGATAATGCACCTACAGAATTCTTAGCCGACAAATTAACAAGATTTTAATTAAAATTCAAGCTACATGATACTATTGCGCAGTCAACAAAAGATATTTGAAGAATTTCATCAATTAACATGTCTGCTAGAGACACATTACGAGACATATCTAGGTAAATAGTGTAAAAATGTCCATGATTTACTGTTTATTCGTAAAAAATTAGCCATCAGCTTGTATGGAAGACAAAATAATCCATTTTTGGTCAATGAATGCACTGCAATTGCTGATGCTTTTTTTTATTCTCAATTGAATCGACAATCACCGAAGTTGAGCTCAAAAAAGAACATGAATTACATGCTTTTAAAAATATTTATTGGACTTTATTTCAAACACGATTACTTCTTAGCTGTATCTTTAATTTGTGGATTGATTAATTGCCTGTTGCAGTAATTTGAAAAGTTATCGCCATTTAATTCACTTTATCTTGTACAAATAAATTTTTTATATTTATTCTGTTTGATGTCGCGCTACGTATGTACGATGAGACATGTTCCACCTGCAATGCTTCTTACTTTCATGCACAGCGACAATAATTTAATGAATTACTTCTTCTTTCAATTTTATTTTTTTTTGCGTCTCCTCTTCTTATTTTACTTTTGCGTATTCAACACGACGTCAAAGTCGAGACTGAAAGCGAAATTGAATGGAGAAGGAGGAGTATAATGTGCATGCGACGAAGTGCATTTGTTGAATGACTAAAGAGACCCCGAAAAGTGTATCACTAGCACTAGTAACACTTTACTACTGCATTGTGTGTGCATGAACGCAATGTTTATAGCTTGAAAATTAGGAAATGTGGTATTAATGTTGTTGCAGTTTGACTGGATGTTTTGGAATTGAACTTTTAGAAGGTTTGACTTATTTTTCGTGATTTATATTTTATGATTTTTTTGAGCTCATTATTTAGGAGTCTAAGGGATTTGTCGGGTTTAACCAGTAGTTTTGGAAGTCATTTTTGGTGCTATGGGCTTAGGCTGGTATTTTGGGCTCTCTTGACTGCTTTCTTAGTTGATTTCAGATTACAGAGCTTCGTGTTGCTCAAGAATCTAGTTCTAAGTCTGAAAATTGCTACTTTTGTTTACAAGGTTATAACTGTATACCTAAGACACCTTTAACTTGCTCTGAATTCTAAGCCACTTCTACCTTATTGCTCATCTTAGTATTAATTGTCCCATCTCTGGCATCTTTTGCCAATAAATCGGCTCTCTTGAAGATTTTGCACCCATTATCCTAATCATTGGACTTCATAAGTCAAACAATTCTTTAAAATGTATCAAATCGATCTAACATGACAAGACTAGACTGCTGATCATGTAAAAAATGCGCTCTACACTCACAGCTCCCTTAACATTGACATTTCAACTTCCTCATTTTTTTCCCATCCTAAAGTTAATTGATGTACGTAATGCACTTCTTTTTTACATTTTATATTTTTTTTTCAGCTTTTTGTAACTCATGTGGTCAGTTTTGAATTCGATATATAAAGACGTGCACTTATGAAAATTATATCATAGTAAAATCTACAGATCTTCAATTCACTTTACTCACTCATTCCACCTGCACTTTTAAAAACTTTTTTTTATTTCATAAAAAATTCAAAGTTCTACTAAGTGAAACAGCTCAAAACAATCAGTTCATCATGTACAAAAAGGTAGAGTTACTTCCATTTTTTTATTCTTAAGTGCTATTAATGAGAATAAAAAAAGAAGCTTTTATCGTCAGTAAAATGTGAAAGTTTATGGTAGAAAGAACAATCTGATAATTTGTTGTTAACAAGTTTTGTGCTGCTTAACTGAATGAAAAGTGCTGTGCATGGAAGATAAAGTACAAAAACTTTATTTTCTTTTTTTCTTGGTTAAATATGAAGTTCTTGAAATGAAAATAGAATAGAAGTTGAGAGAGGTTGCTGCAACTGATAGGTGATCCGAGAAGTTAATGGTTTAGAAATTATTCAGTGTTGGATGCTGTACTGAAGATGGTTGAGGTGTACAGTTTGGATTTTTTTTTTGGAGAATTGCCAAAATTGTTGAATTCAATTTTTATTAATTTAACTATCTAGTGTTTGGTAGCTTTGTGGTACTTCTTGTGAAGTCCCGCCTTCCAACCAATATTTTTTGCCTTAAGGACGTTGCTACAGATTTGTCTCGCATGTCCTTCATTCTTGGTTACGCACTTACAGTTCATAGATAGCTTTAGCTGCTGCACTTCTCGGGAGAGTTTTAAAAATAAAAGAACAGAAATCCACAACAATATAAAATAGAAATGAAAAGACTTAACTTTCAAAAGTTCTACGAACATGATTTTTCTCATTTTTCCCTTTCTTTCAATGCACATAAAGGCATGAATAAAGTTTTTTTAAGAAAAAATAAATAAATTCAATGAAATTGAAAACATTTTCAATAAACTGAATGTGAGAAATAAATTAGATTATAAATAAGTAAAAAATAGGCAAACTTCTAAGTCTCAAATAAATGCAATAATGCTGCAAAGGAAGCATAATAACTTTTCTAATCAAATTTATCTGAATTGTTTCTAATGATTTGAAAATTCTCTCAAAAGCTTTTTTTTATGATTTTGAGTTTAATGTTTTAAAAAAATCTGATTTTCAAACATTGACACTGAAGTAAGGCACGGTTTTTTTAAAATCATAACCGTCATCTAAGACGGACCCAAGAAAGTGAACCAAAAAGTCCCACAGATGTATCTTCCAAAAATAAGTTTAGCACCTTCAATTATAAAAGTCACAAATGTTCAATAAGAACTTATGTCCATTAATACGCCTGTCTTGTTGATAAAACAACCTTCTTGGAATTTATGAGTCGACAAATGTGTTTTCAACATTGAATTTTTTAAGGAATAACTTTTTGGTAAACTTTTTACTTCCAACATTTTTGATTTTAACATTTATGATTCATACTTAATATTTACATCCTAAACTATAATTTCTCATCGATCCCACATAAAAAAAGTTTGAAAAATCAATTCAAAAAATATTAAATTCCAAATCTATCATATCCACAGAAAAAAAAATATTTACAAAACATAATAGACAAAAAATGCCAATAAAAAAATCATCACTATCGTTAAAAGGAATTCAATAAGTCAACTATTTCAAAAGATGTTCATATCAATAAATGTAAACTATTAATAACCTTTCTGAAATATGTTTAAGCGTGGGATTGCAAGAACTAAATGTAACTTCATGACAGCACATTTCAAATTCATCGCTACTGCAAACAAAGAAGAGATAATTCAGAGTTATGAGCGATTGAATTCACATAAAAGAAAATGCGATAAAAAGAAGAAAATGAAGTTTTTGATTTACTTTTATCATTGATTTGACTTTGTGAGTCATTTTTATGTGACAAGTTGGATGCATTTGATGATTAGAATGAGTGGGATGTTAAGGAATATAGGATGTTTATTTGAATTTGAAGATATTTTAGATGGTTGACTTCTAAGAAGGATAGGAGCATGGTGTTAGTAATTTAAGGCTGTGTTTTAATCACAAACCCTAATTTACTCGAAAAGAATGCCGCACAGGTATAGAACCTCCTGTGCACCCCCTTCAATCTCTGTTACAATCTTTAACCAATCCACTTCTAAATCCTATCATGTCAAACCAACTTTCACTACTCAATTAATCCCCATGACTTCCTTCAAAGCTCCAACAAAAACAAAACTTCCAAAAGCTCATTTAATTTCATCCATCTTAGCTCATAAAGAAGATTAATGAGCAAAAGCACAAGCAAATTAACTAATTAACGAGGTCAGACAAATATTTTCATTTAAATGACAGCAGCATTGACTTTGACACAGCATCATCGTGATGAGAAAAAAACTAAAACAAAATCCAACAAGTTGTTTAATGACATTAATGTGTAG